TGTTATGGGGGTGGGGTTGGTGTTTAAGCTGTGCTGTTGCAGGGAATATGCAAGAAGCAAAGTTTGCTTGGTGATATCTTTTATTGAACCAATATGTAGTTGGAAGAGATGTTAGACAAGCTTTCAGGCATAAAATGTCCATCAGTTTTTGGGAAAGATGCAGGTCTGGCCTAAACTATCTCTCTCTCTCTCTCTAAGGTTATATATATAACCTTAGGTTGTATTTGCTCCTTTCCAGACCCAGGAATGGCATTTTGTACTTGATAGCTTTTCTAACATTTGCTACTCAAAAACCACATTGTTCAAAGGTTCAAAGGCTATTTGGGAAGTCAGGCTGATGGAATATCTCTGAGAATTTTCTCACTTGTTAGGGATAATGCACATATCTCAATATGGGCAGAACGAAAATTAAATGATACAACATCAAATACAAAAAAAAACCTTGAACAATGTAAAGTGCATCTCTGACAAACAACAAAAAGGACTGTCATAACTTTCAAAAAAAGAGATTTAAAAAGAAAAACAAAGTTCTGAAGGCCACATAAATCACTCATCCACATCAACTTTAATGGGAAACTACTGACCTTGATTTCTTCATTTTGTCAGCAAAACTAGGGCCTGAAGTACTTCAAAGCAAATTAAAAGTATTTGTTTGAGAAAAATTCACTGACAATTAACATTTGAAATCCAATCTTGATCTAGAAAAGATCAAAGATGATCCTGCCTAGAACAAACAGGTAACGTAAAAAGTAGATAAAAGAAAATACTGGGGTAATATAAAAATATTTTAATTACTAGATCTGATTACAAAGAAAAGAAAAAAATGAAATATAATTATAAGAACCAGCAGCAATTAAACACAAAACTGCCATCTTCATTTGAAATAACCTTCATTCACTTAATTTGTCAATTCACCCTGCTGTTGCAACATCTATAAGAAAACACCCAACTGAGGTTGGCTAGGTCAACAGGCAAATGGGGCTAACTAGAATGCATTTTATCTACATAAAAGCAAATGTATATATTTGCTTGTTTTTCTATTTTATACCTTTGCTAAATTACTAGTCTTTTAAGAACTATATCCTGCAAGCAGCACATATGTAGGACAGCACGTAACAAAATAGGGAGTTTAATTCTGATTGCATCCTCTGCAACTACTGCAATATCTTTATTACTATAACAACAGATATATATGTATTAACACCTGTCTAGTAAGTACATAGTTAAACCTACCCCTACCATTGAACATTGAAATTATGAATTTTAGAATGAGTGAACTGAAAAAACAGGGCACAAGGAATTTGCCATTCATGAACAATCTAGCATACAACTCATACTGTGAGTTGGTAGACTTAAATAACACAAGATGTTTTGAGCAAGGGCATAACACATACCAGGCCACACCCATCAGGCACCCTTCACATGACCCTGGGCAGTAGAAGGGCGGGGCTTGTGATTTTCGCAGTATGTCTACATTGCCTCAATTCTATGCCAGGAAGTGCTACCACAAAGTTGTGCCTCCCATCACTCTACTACAAGCACATGCTCGAACTAGTCTCAGGCCATTACATTGCCTCATTTTCAGAATTTGTAATGATCTAGAGTGTGGGCAGGGAGTACTTCAAGGCAGCACTCCTTGGTGTAATGCAAAGGTAGAACAGACATGCCCATTGACTTATAGGGCCAAATTAAAATCAATCTTGTAGGCACCTCAAAAAGACTTCGACAAAATGTAGGCATCTAAGATACAAGACACAGGCCAGATTGACCCCACTGCGGCAAGTGCAAATGAGGTAGGTACCTATGATCAAGAGGTGTCTTAGTTTCACCTGAAAAGATCCCAAGGAGAGTAGATATGGACTATAGTGCATGCTCTCAAGGAATTGAGATAGGCCATCTAGACCACTAACTCCCTCCTAGACTCTGTTGCTTCCTAACATCAGTGTGGGTTGTATCTAAAGTTCACCTACATTCCTGATTTCCTAGGCATGGACAGAGCATATCTGACAAGTATTTAATTCTGAAAACAAGCAATGCATTATGAAACCCAGGTGAAAGATGAAAAAGGCAGATGCCCAATAGTCTCATATTTAAAGCACTCACCCAGAAAATGGAAGACCTTGCTCTGAGGAATCTAAAAAAGTCTAAAGTCTTCTTGTTCTGAGGAGTCTAAAATCTACATCCTCAATTTAGAAGACTGGCCTCACCACAAAACTGTGGGTTAGTTTGATTAAGGGCACCACTCATTGCTTGCAAGAGAACAAGAATCACGGGGCCAGAAGGATGCAAGCATGAGGAAAACTGATTTTGTAGCCTAGTAAGGAAGGTGCTTTCCTTAGAGGGGTATAACTTATAATCCTGTACCTGCTCCTAAGGATATTTTTGCTTTTTAGGTTAATGACCATCTAATATAAAATGCATAAAGAAATATGGTAGTGGGGATCAGAAATCAGTTCATTTGCAGAGACGCTTTACACACTTGAATTGCTACGTAAGGCAGGTGAAAACTTGGCCCCATGTGAATAAAAGACACTATTTTTATGTTCCATTAAAAGAACTTCTTTCAGAAGTTGCATAAAGCATAAGGCATACATATGTTCCGTCTCTCATTGCCTCTTAGGAATCAAATTTCTTTGTTGTAATTAAATGTTTTTAAATTATGCTTACATAATGCTAGATTTTTACATATATTTTACATACTTTTACATAAATATCATTTTGTGAACAAATATGAAAAGGTTAAAATGAAATTAAAATTAAGTAATAAGAATCATACCTGTGTTATGTCCAAGTCTTTCGTTTGAATGCTGCGTAAGGTCAATTGTCCTGTCAATTTGAAAGATTTTTAAGTCTTCATCATCTAAGGCAATATCTCCCCAAAAGACAGCTTTAAATAAAAAAGAGCTGAATTTAATTAAATCATTTACTTAAACATTAAAACCAATCTGAAGAATATATTGTGACTTCACAACTAATGGAAAAAAATATATGCACATAAATGTTTAAAACTATTTATTTAGTAGGTCTGTGCGAAGTGGCTAGTATTTGCTTTTGATTCAGCTGATTTGGGGGACAGTGATTTGATTCGGTGATTCAAATCACTGTCCCAAATCGGTTTGGCTGAATCTGATTCAGCCGAATTGGCTGAATCTCCGAATTGGACAGACCCCATCCCCTGCCCGCTCTCACAGCCCCATCAATGGCTGCCCCTCCTGACTCGTTAAAAAAAAAAAAAAAAAGCCTGGGAGTCACTGGCTGGGGCCGCGGGGGGGGGGGGGGGG